CCCCCCCCCCCCTATTGAATTTTAACCCATAGTAACTATCTCGTGGAGATTTCCTTGCTGATTTTTATCCTATCCTTTGGAATTCCTTTTTCATTGTGGACCTTTCCATAGAAATTCTTCCATTTTTGGTCCATTTTTGATGGCCTCTGGGGGGGGGGGCTATTGGAAATTCCAGACAACCTCAATAGGGGGGTGCCGATAAAAAGTGCAATGGCCCAATGAGTGATCGAGACGAAGGTCGTCAAAGTTGTCCTGAAGTTGCTTGCCACGTTTTAATGTTAAGAATGAAATAATCATTTAAAAAATACAATTGTGTGAAATTTGGCTGTTAAATATGGTGTTACGTGGATCAAGTACATTGTATCAAAGTACGTAAGTACACTTTATTATAAACTATAGTTAACATGTTAAATTTGCTTGTCAAGTATAGTCTTGCAAGTTTATCACGTGTTCCCAATTTTGGGCAAAATGTTCCTTGACAAATTTACAAAAATCACAGTACACCCACAGTAGGTATACTGGTATAAATATATAGTAAGTTGCTATTTTATAATTGCAAACTGAAATGTCCAACGCATATGTAACAATAACATATAAAAAAGTTTAAAAATCTATAAATTTGATGTTTATAGGCATTGAATACGTATAAGATATAGCATTCATTGATGCAACCCCCATAACATGCAAATTTGAATGATTCAGTGCTGTTGTTTGAGAGTGCATGCCAGCCTTAATACGAGTGAGCAATATTTAACAATTATTTACTCTCTAACAATGGATGATCTTAGTATCTTACTAATCAAGGGCAATCTTGGACCTTAACCCATTATTATTAAGCACCTGTTCTCTCCTCTTGACAAGTAAAATTGTATGGCATTAGACCGAGTAAAATAATCTGTAGTTAGAGTGAAATAATAAAGTAGGGTGCATCAGGTTTAGGTGGGTAAACGTTTTTCCTGTATTCCACTGGTGAGGTATTGAGAAATTTTGTTTTGATAAAGGTGGAGTAATGATTTTTCTGGCTACATTATGCACTCTTTGGGCCCTACCCCGGCCATAAATAATGACCGGTCTCTAAATTCTCAACTATTTGATTAACCCATTAAGTGCCAGCGCTCTCCCCTTGACAAGTAAAATCGTCTGGCGTTAGACAGAGTAAAATACTCTGGTGTTAGACAGAGTAAAATACTAAAGTAGGGTGCATCAGGGTGCAATATGACTCGATGAGTTAAAGATGCTGTCAAGTCTGTTCTGCGCATCGGTTCTGCTCAAAACAAAGGGGGACCCACAGATGTAAACATTGCCCAAATTTTGCATCTTTTGAACTTTTTCTGAATTGAAACTCTGGTTTATATTCATTTACGAGCATACTAAACCAGTGTTATATATTCAGTTAGTATATCATATTTTACAAATATAGCAGTTCGAAATGTAAACAAAGTGTTTGTTTACATTAGGGACTTGACAGCACCTTTAAACATCCTTATTTTTAAGTGTTTCGATCACAGACAAAACTTGTTTTTCTTTCTTCTTTCCTTGAAGAGATGGCTTTCCTAGACTTTTGAGTAGTTTCGCTAACTCTTTTCCTGTCAGTTGATTTAGTAAAATGTTTTGAGCAGGCAGTTGTAATGTGCATAGGTGATGAAGAAATCCTGCAAAACTTTCAGAGGTTTCACCAGCTGCTCTCATCTTGGATATCTCACTGTCTACCACAGATTTTTTTTTTATTTTTCTTTCTTTTGGTTTCATGATTTCCCTCCTAAGTGACACACTGTTTTTGTTTGGTTTCAGCCCTTCTTTTTCTCGGAAGATCTGTTGCTTTGACTTAACAAAGAATGTTACTATTCTTTGCAGAACAATGATTGAAGCCTCAAGGTCCCAATTAGGTCCTACCAAGTTTATCCATTTTGTTCTTAAATCCTTGTCTAGTGACAAGGCCTCTAAGCATTCCCGGAGCACATCGCCTCTCTCAGAGACCATGTTTTCATGCAGGTGATCTTATACTCGAATATGGAGGTAAGTGAAAAAAGAACTAGCCTTGTCATGTACTTTAAATCTGTGTGTTCCATCATGTTGGGCAACATCGTCCCCTAATTCTTTTATGATTGTCAAGGCAGTGGTTTTATTAGCATTAATGAGAGGTGAGTCTGGATCATTACTTTGCGTTTCTCCCTATGTAAAGGAATCCGGATTCCAGAATCCAACAAAAATTTGCACTTCAGAATCCGGAATCCATGACATGGAATCCGGAATCCATTGACTCGGATCCGGAATCCATTATTTTAATCACGGAATACGGAATCCAGCTTTCATACTTTATAAAATATAATCGTTATATAGTGTGACACATCAAAACGAAACGTACGGTACGTGATCTCATTAAATTCATGCAATACAAGTATCCCCGCCTTATAAAAGTTACATGAAGTGATGTTTAATAATGAGAACAAAAAAACTAACTCTGAATTATGCGCGTGGGCCCGACAGGAGCAGCCAAAATAGTCGAATCTTTAGTCGAATTACTGGTTCGTTTGAAATAGTGACCGTTTACTGCTAGGTATAATGCAGTTTTTTACTGCCTGGCAGAGAAGTGAGAGAACTTAAAGCGTAGATGCTGTGCCATGCATCAAGCATACTCTTGATAAACCAATTATTATTATATTATTTTTATTAGAATTTCCGTGAAATTGCTTTTTTAAGACACGTGAATTGGTGAAACAGCTTTTGTTTTTGTTGTGAAACGTGACCCTGATACCCCCCTTTTTTCCGCCCTCAGTGTCGTCCCTTTTATATCCCTTTGACATTTAAATATCATAAATATTTGGCGTTACCGTTGTTCTCATGTATAATTTAACAGTACATACAGTAAAATATAAATAACCGATCGTTGTCATATTTGTCATCTTTAATATGAAGCTCTCTAGGTGAACCAGAATTATTAAAGGGGCAGTATGATCAAAATTTTTATTCTCGTAAACCAAAGCTTAAACGAAAATGCTCGTAAAACTGAATAATAACTTGTTTTGAAGAATTTTATTCTCATGCTTAGTTCTTGAGATATTTCATTTGTTTGTAACCATGTGACGTCATCTACTCAATTACATATATAATGAGATATCAGTAATTATTGTGTATCTTTGCTATTTTTGATCGATTTGTTAAAAAAACACAGTATGCTTAATGATACAGGTTAAATTAACAAACGCGCCGCATCTTTCGAAATATTTTGATAAAAATATAGCAAAGATACACAACAATTACTGATATCTCATTATATATGTAATTGAGTAAATGACGTCACATGGTTACAAACAAAATGAAATATCTCAAGAACTGAACATGGGAACCAAAATCTTCAAAACAAATTATTATACAGTTTTACGAGCACTTCCGTTTCAGAAAATAAAAATTTTGATCATACTGCCCCTTTAAAACGCCTGCAAAATGAGTGTACTCAGTACTCAGGCGTTTCAAAAGTGCTTGTTATGGATGAGGACGTCGAAGAATCATTGTCACTTCAGCAATAGGGCTGATTCCACTCCAACAAGAAATGGCTAAATACGCAAATCTGCTCAGGCTTGATAAAAAGGCAAAACAGTAGGAGTTATCGATAACAAAGAACGACCACCTTAGAATTGTACAGGAAGTTGTTACCTTTTTTGCTAATCTAGAGGACGAAGCTAGAGTTAGAACGGGGCAACTAAATGCAAACCGCCCAGACGTGGTCATACCGCGAACAACAAGACGATGTTTTGAAATTGTCTTAAACTCCCTCACCGGTCTACTAGCTAAACACGCTGATGGAGATCAGTCACGAGGAATTGGCCAACAAGATTCGCTTCACAAGCCTGACAACATTAAGCGTAGAAAGTTTCTTTAAAGGTATGCGTTGCAGAATACGCATACAAGCGAGCTGTGTTGAAGATAGCATGCTTTGAATTTACCAGAAACACTTCAGCTACTTCACTAGCTCATATTCGTTTTATCCCGAGAAGATTATTAACGAAGAACCACCAAATTTGGCTGGCAGGGCCAGCAAACAGTGGGGATGCCGAAGAAGACAAACGATTGAAAAGAAGCAGAGTGATGAAAGATTTTATCCAAGAACATGGAGAGGAGTTCGACAAATAAATGTCCGATCAAAGACTAAAGAATTAACAGACAGGTAGTGCCGTACACCCTGAGTATCATGGCGTCCGCAATTCATCTCAAATCCATCAGACATACCCGATGTAGCAACTGCGTGTTTTGTTGTCGATGGTGCACATGGACGACAAAGCAAAAACAACATAAGAGTGCGTGTGGTCTATTTAAAAGATGATGTAAATGCTGTTAGAGACAATTGTCCCCTTACCGACTTGCCGTGCTGATGTAAAATATTTATGTCGGTTACTAGAATCGTTACTAGAAAATACATGCATGAGCAACGCTGTAAAACTTCAGTGGTTTAATCAAACAACAGATCCAACGATTTACACTTGCGGTGACATATCAATGGAAAACTCTCCGAACTGCATCTTAGCAAATGTGGACAATTTCTTACTTGAAGACAGTTGAAATGTTATTTTATCTCCCAACGAAGACATCCGGTTGAGTAGACTTGTTAACGGGGATGATGATAGTGAAGATGAAGAAGAGGAGGAGCAGGAGAGTGTCTGCTGAACCACAAGAAACAGGACCATTATATAATTAAGACTTGAAGGAATGAGCTCGTTAGGAAGAAGGACTATTCGTTTTATACTGCGTTAATGCTTCGTAATACTGACATTTAGTGTTTCTTGTTGTTATGTTGATGTAATAAGCTTTAATATCATGTTTCGTTTTTTAAAAGAGTTTGGAGGTTGCTGATGTACATGTATAAGACTATTGCATCTATGTTTACAGCAGTCTTTAGCAGTGTTAGGTCCTCTAATCTTACAAAATATAATAAAGCCTTATTTTGACGATATTATACAGGTTAGTTGTTGAAATCGTTATAATAAGTAAATATTAGCCAAGGAATCCACTGACTATTATTAAGAAGGAATCCGGAATCCAAGGTTCAGAATCCGGAATCCACGCATCAGGATCCGGAATCCACGAGCCAGGATCCGGAATCCGACACAATCTTGGATTCCTTTACATAGGGCTTAAAATGCAACTTCTACTGTATTAATACCGGACAATATTTTACTTTCCAAGGGGAGAGCACTCACCTGGTGCTCAATGCAGTATAATAAGCCAGCTGGTTGAATTTAAATACAGTACATCTTTCTTGATGATGCACATACTGTACATAGATTACCTGTGTTCCTTTCTGAACAATGTGCGGAGGGGGAAATTCCAGAGGATTTCCAGATAAACTGAGGCCACAAAGTGATCTTGTCATTCCTAGAATATAGTCTCACATAGTTTATCCATGAATATATGTAATTATGGGGATTTAGGGAACTTCTGGAGCAGCATGACACAGCTACCTGGCAATTTCAATGATTTACCATGCATATTTGGACAAGAGAAGGAACCCAAGAAGCCCCATATTCTTACAAAATGAGCCACTTAACTCTAACTTTAATTAACCAGACAGTGATTAATTGCTAGGCAAAATCTATTTGTTGATGGCCTGTTTAAATATTAATCTGGGTTTTTTTAATAGCCGGTATAAATTACCTAATTCACATGGTAAATGTGTCAGAGAATTGCCTTCCAACAACAAACTACGGAGGCTCCTGAAAGATAATATTTAACAAAGTTATTTTTTTCAATAATGTTGACCTCCATGTAGACTAACTGGACTAATAAGCACCTTTAGTGCAAAATGTGGGTGATGTACATAATTCAATTTGCCAATTAAATTTAGTACGTCAAACTTGCCATTTTCAATTTATTAATTTTAAGCCTGGACGGACCATTAGAAATGTGATGGGGGGGGGGGTTCCAAAAAATGTGCAAAAAGGAAAACAACAACAAAGAGAAATACTTCGAAAATTCCACAAAAAAATTCCAGCACCAGCAGATGCAAAAAAGATTTGTGCAAGCTGAAAATTCACCCCTCCCCCCAACCCCTCCGATCACTTTTCTAATGGTCTGCCCCTGAACGAAACCCACCCAGCCTTGAAATTCATGTCATAAGTTACCACAAAGGTCTATTTCCACTCAAGAAAATTTTCTGCGGAAAGACAGATTTGTAAAATGTCATTGGCCGACACAAACTTTCCGTCAGAAAAAAATTTTGAAGTTCCAAATTTTCAACTTTTAACAATGATATGGGCCATTCCATTTAATATACACCCCTATGGATGAGGTCTGATAGTTTTGAGACCCCTCAGAAATCAACTGTGGTTCGACACGCCTACCCTTAAGAAATGGGATTTTCATAGACAACCGTCCGAATTTTTTTTCCAAATGGTCATACTCATCAGAAATTCCTATGGATGAGGTTGCTATTTTTCTGACCCCTCAGAAATTGCCATTTATGAAAAGCGACCCCTAAGAAATTTACATACAAAATATTAACCCCTCAGAAACAAAGCTTTTGAGAGCCAACCCCTCAGTATTTTAGAGGGTTTCTACAATAATTATAAACCCAACCTCTGGCGAATGTAGAATAAAGCCATCTATTTGTGTTTTTGACACGTTTAATATCTGGTATTTTTTAATAATACGTTTGATTGTTTAGATGTGCACGATTCCCCAGAAATTCGTCGTCCTGGTGGACAAACCCTAAGAATTTTTTTAAAATTCAGGCGATCCCTCAGAAAACCTCATCTCCAATAGCATGCTGTTCAGAATTTTTCATATTTTAGACAACCCTTCGGATAAAGATTTATTCGATGTTATAAACGTCAAGAAATTTTAGTAAATTGGAGACGACCCTTAAGAAATTTTAATAATTTACAGGCAACCCTTAAGAATTTTGTTAAAATTCAGACAACCCCTCAGAAAACCTCATCCATAGGGGGGGGTGTATATTAAATGGAATGGCCCTATATTTGGCAACTTGCATGCGATGTGCACCTTAAGCAGTATATATTTCATCGCATAGTAATAATCCTTCTCAAATATAAAATCGATAAGCTAATAAACTGATTACATTGTTTGCAGAAAGCTCTCATACTACCTGTGTTTTCCTACAGAAGCGGGAAGCAAAGTTAATCGATTATTCCTTAAATCCAACCATTTTAAATTTGTTAACTTCTCAAAGAATCCTTCCGGTAATTCCGTTATATAGTTAGATTCAAGATGGAGAGACTACAAATTAAGAACACGAGATTTTGAGCTTGTATACAGCGTTTAAATATACTAAACACTAAGTCGATAATTGAGCATATTCTATGGCTTAAACCTACCTCTAAATGTTTTAAATTTAATATTTCGTTGGGTATTTCATAAATACATTTAGCTCCAAGATCTAAGGTTTCGCTACGTAGAGCAGATGCGCTGTTTATCATGCGAATAACGACATCATCTTCCTCACTCTCGACCGCCATCTTGGAAATCTCAAATTGTTACATTTGTTGTCATGGTTACACCATGTCACATGGTCATGCGTAGAACGGAAGTGCGGAATACCGTGCGGAATGACTGCGGAAGTTATTATTATTATTATTTTTAAACTTTATTTAAAGAGGGTTAATTTACAAGAAATTTTCCAATTTAGCAAAAGCTAATCTTCCACTGGACCTTCTAAAACTAACTAAACTATCTGTACAGGACAATTCACGTTCACATTACATACATAATTTCATAAATTATTAAAACAAAGTAAGGCTGCACGATATATCTATAAGTACAACTAATTATAATTAATAATGTCCTATACTAAGAGTCATTTATAAACATGTCCAAAAACAATGCAGGAAATGAACTCGAAGATCTTATCTTTCACTGCAGACCTCTCAACTTTGCAGAGAAGTTAAGAGTGAGATTGGGGATGTGGATGACACCTTTGTAAAAGTCCGGGGGTCTGAAGAGGGTCCTGAAGGGGGTCCCAATCCCATTTCCCACCTGAAATTTTGCAAAATCCCAGTCCCAGTTGGATTTTTATTAGAAATCCCAGTCCGAGTTATTGAAATCCCAGTCAATAAAAAACTCTTTATTTATCGCTAGAATAAACAGTTTTAAGACCTTTTAAGCCACAGTGTGTGCAAGTGGTGGACCATTTATGAAATATTGGGGGGAGGGGGGTGTTCGTGAAAATTTTAAATTTGAATCCTGGAAATGGCATTTGTTGCAGCATTCTGAGACACGCATAATCAGAAAACCC